TTGGTGAATTCAGTCTGTTTAACTGGGACTGGTCAACTTTTAATATGCTCCAAGAAAGTAGAAAAGTTTTCATATTTTATATTTTATGCCTTAAAAGATTTTTCTTTAAGAAACTAGAAGTAACCAGTGGGCCAGTTTGTTTCTAAAAATGGTTTCTAAAGCCTAAAACTGGCTCAGGACATGATTCTCACACCACAAACAGGACCCACATAGGCTTCTGGCAGAGCAGAGGGCGGCTCCCACAGTACTATCTTTCCCACAAATGCTTGCAAGTCCCAGGTAGCACTGCAATTCTCAGGTTGCTCTTTCGAGCTGCTTCCTTGTTATTCAATGCAGCTCAGAAGCATGTGAAAAGGAGCACCATAAGAGAAGGGAAAGCTCCTCAATCACCTGCTGTTTTGAGGACCCTGCTGCCAGAATTGTGGATAAATTCTGGCAGCGAAAATCCCAGAAATCTGATCGTCCCATTCCCCAAGAGACAAGCATTATCTACGAGTGCGCAGATTTGCTTATTCCTGGTGACCAAAAAGGAACATTTCCCAGCTCTGACTCTAACATGAGCATAGGATACCTCAAAACGGTTTACCCAAGCTTCTCTCACTCCACGGGATTTCTGAAGTCTGCCCTGTCTTTGCTCTTTCTCTTTCTTTCTCTCTCTTTCTCTCTCTCTCTCTCTCTCTCTCTCTCTCTCTCTCTCTCTCTCTCTCTCTCTCTCTCTCTCTCTCTCTCTCTCTCTCTCTCTCTCTCTCTCTCTCACACACACACACACACACACACACACAGGTAATGGGAATCTGAAACTCACGGCCTTGTTCCAACTGGGCTGTGACCTCAAGTTTTGTGACAAGAAGTCCTTCTTTGGGGGAGGGGGGGAGCATCAAAACATATTCACTATTTGTGCCACTTCTTTTTTACACCAATAATTTCACTGCATTCCAAGCTCCTTGAAACATACCTTGACAAACACTCCCTTATCCACAGGATCAGTATCCACTGATCCACTTATCCAGAGTCTGAAAATATTAAAAAGATTGAAAGAAAATCCCTAGAAAGAGTACATTTTAAAAGATAGTACATTTTTAAAGTTACCAGAACTGACTATTAGAGGGAGCCAGACACTATGCTATATATATAGTGTTCACAATTAAAATAGTGCTCACTATTTTTCAGCATCCGCGGGGGTGGTAACAGCTTTGAAACTGATCTCCTGTGGATACAGGGTCCTAATGGATCAGGAAGGAAGTGGGGGGGGAAGGACCATATTATTTCGAGTTTATGATCTGCTCGAAGAGTGAATGCCCGGGGTGCTTCACTGGCAAGAATGAATTCCTGGAAAGCAATAAACACGAGGCTCATGTCTCGCTTGGTAAAGAAAATCCCCATTGCAAGCTTTGGGACAGCCACACCGTCTGGGCCAGACCTATCTGACACATACAAGTTACTGCTTGCTTGCTTTATTGTTTCCTACTTTTACGATGAATTTTATTTCGCCCTGCCTTCAGCCTTTGTTGACCATGCATCCTTTTTTTTTTTGCTCCCCATCTTTATTTTAAGAGGTATCATCCGTTTCCCTTCCAGCGCCCCTGTTCCTCCTTCTTTCCCACCTCTGTCCTTCCCGCCTCTGAGGCTGAATCGGAGAGTGCCCCAGACCCTCCAATATCTGAGGGGCAGACAGACACCCACACGTGTCCGACGTTGGCCCCTTTCCCCTCCCCCCCACACAGGCTTTTGCAATCTGCAAGGTCCCGAGGCTCCGGTGCAGATCTTGCCACTAGCTCGTGGGAAAGTCACCTGTTTTTCTCCCGGGTCTCATTCACAAAGACAGGCCGCCCCACCGCCTCTCTTGCTGGGAACACAATCACAACAGGGAGGATTTGACTCCCCCCTTTCTTCCCCCCAAAAAAGACCAGGTTCCTCAGAATTGCTGGAAATCGTAGTCCTTTGCCCCGTTTCCTTTCAGAAAGACGCAGAGAATTCTGGGCACTGTAGTCCCCCATAGCGCGAATCATTTTCCCTACGAGAAGTGTTAACATGTGTGCGTGGAAATGTTGTCTCTAGCACGTCCTCTCAACAGCTGGGAGACGTCTCGTTTTTGGACCATAAGTCTCAGAATCTCGCAGTTGTCCCCAGCTCTACACTTCACATATTAAAATTGGGACATGCATGCTTATGATGCACCTGCACTGTAGTCCCCCATAGCGCGAATCATTTTCCCTACGAGAAGTGTTAACATGTGTGCGTGGAAATGTTGTCTCTAGCACGTCCTCTCAACAGCTGGGAGACGTCTCGTTTTTGGACCATAAGTCTCAGAATCTCGCAGTTGTCCCCAGCTCTACACTTCACATATTAAAATTGGGACATGCATGCTTATGATGCACCTATTTGTTTTTGTTTTGTTTTTCTTTAAGAAACAAACTACACACTAAAGAAAATGCAATGGAATAATGAAAAGCAAGCAAACATTTAAAAACTATCTGTTTACTCAGCTATTTGCCGTGTGCTGTGTTTCTTTAAGCTGGATCAGCTTGCTCTCCATTAAACCAAGACACTATTGACAGAGGACATTTTGGGTTAAGGTGCTATAGAAACTAAATTATTTGAAAGTAGCCCAGCTCAAAAGGTGTAGGGGATTGAAACCCATTAGGTTTCTTTTTTTTCTTCCCAACTCAACAATTAAGCAGGGAAGTATGTTTTGTTTTGTTCTGAGTTGTGGAAATTTTTGTTCGGAATCCTAATCAACGTTGTTGAACTGGTACCCCTGACTTGGTCCACCTTTCCATCCTGAAGATGGCTGGTTTTGTATTTATTGGGAAAATTGGGAGATTTCTGGACACACGCACATACCCGTATCTCATCTTATTCTTGCTATCTTATGCTACTTTTCATTGTACAGTGGTGCCCCGCATAGCGAGGTTAATCCGTTCCGGATTAACCTTCGCTATGGGGAAACATCGCTATATGGAACGGAAAAGCCCATTGGAACAAAGTTTAATGCGTTCCAAATGGGCTCAAAACTCACCATTCTGCGATGTTTTCCCATGTTCCGGCAGCCATTTTGGATGTTCCGGCGGCCATTTTGGGTGTTCCGGCGGCCATTTTCGGAAAAGCCCATTGGAACAAAGTTTAATGCGTTCCAAATGGGCTCAAAACTCACCATTCTGCGATGTTTCCCCATAGCGGCAGCCATTTTCGCACCCTCGGTAACCGAGGGCAGGTCTTCTGGTGGCCATTTTGGAACCGCCGATCAGCTGATTTTTAAAAAACGCTATGCGAAGATCAGTAAGCGAAACGCTTACCGATCGTCGCTAAGCGATTTTTGCCCATTGGAACCGTCGGTATGCCTTCGCATTAGCGATCCCAAAAAATGGATCGCTATGCGAATTCGTCATTATACGGTGCGCTCGTTAAGCGAGGCACCACTGTATTTTTGTGTTATAGTTACATCTGATATACCTGCTGGCCAGTGACCGTAATAAATCTCATTCATTCATGTCCCCTGTTGGTGCATGCGAAGTTCACCCTCATGCCCCTTTCTTGACCGTCAAAACTCAAGAGCACATGAAGGCAAACAATCCCCTCTTCTACACTGCTGCCACCAGGTGATAACTAAATAAACATTACTTCAGAACTCTAATCACTCCTCAAATTCACTCTAATTCCACACTCTATCCACTCTGTCACTCTACTCATCTCTGACTCTGGCTCTCTGAATATCTCAGGCCCCACCTCTCTCGGCTCTGCCTCTCAGCAACATGAATATGCACGAACAATTCACATAACAAAACATGAACCATTGACATCATAAAGGGGAACGCTACAGTGCACTTAGAAAAAAAAGAGCCACACTCATGGCTTGTGCTGGATTGGAGGGACCCGAGTTCAAATCCACAGACATTACTTTTGTAAGCTAAGATCCAGTTAGTACTTTGATGGAAAATCACCAGGCAGTGGAACTACAGAAGACTTTGGCCAGAAAGCTGCTATCATTCAGTGTTGATGCAACTGGGTGACATGAACCAAGGGCTTGCCTCTGTGTGAGTCTTAACTGCTGAATAGCTCAGTGGATTGGAGAGCAAGAGGGTGACCCCCAAGTGAGCTTTATGGGCTCAGTGGGGACTCGAACCTGGACTTTTAATACTGCAAGGAATGCTACCGTTGGTTTAGGCATCTGGCGGCAGAACCAGAGCTTGGGAATTTGATTCCCCACTGTGTCTTCCTGGGAGGGGCCGGACTCGATCCATAGGGTCCCTTCCAACTCTGCAGTTCTAAGATGATGATGATGATGATGACCTATACTTGCATTCCAGATCCTAGAAAGAAAATGCCTCTCCCACCCTCTTTTTTTCCACAGCACCACTGGCCAAACACTACCCCAGTGCAGAAACCAAGCTCACTCCCCATGTTCTGAATAAGGAGAGGTCCTTCAGCTACCTTTCACAGATCTCCATGGCCTGTCGGTTTAAGGCCCCTTACCTTTCCTTAGCAAACCTTGAAAATATTCTGGAGTAGAATAATGTGGAGTACATTATAAGAGGGCAAGGATGGGCAACTTCACAGAGTCTGCCCCCCCCCAGTTTTATATCTCATGGAGGCCTACTGCAGGCCTCATCACCCTCTGTTGATGAACCCAGAAGTGACCAGAGATCCGCATTTGGCTTCAATTTCCCCCTCCCCCAACTCCAAGGGGTGTGTGGATGTGTCAGAAGATAGTTCAACATGATTTAAGTGTCAAAATTATACTTTCTGGAAGTGCCCAGAAGTGTGATTCTCCACTTTTTTATGCCCCCTCACAGGCAGGGGTGGCACCTCTATGGTCCACACACACAGGTAATGGGAACCGTGGGGAGGGGGGTTTCCAAAGGTTGCCCAAACACACACCCCTGAGATTTAAAAGACAACGCTCACAATGCCACAAAAGTGAGCACTGGGAGTTTTTCAAGAAAACGATCACATTATTTATGTTCATTAATGAAATTTTTATTTAATTTATATATCTCCCTGGGAGCCTGTAACATATATAGAACAGTATCTATGAATGTGAAGGCACAAAGCAGCCACAGAAAAACAATTTGTTTAAAAACGTCTTCAGTGTAACATCTCCCAGCATGCCAGAGCTGTGAAAATTTACATTTCGAGTTGGGATTCTGGGAGCTACAGTCCAAAAACTAGCTTTCCCAGGCTGTGCAACAAGCTGGCATCAATCGAAAGTACACACGGAAAGGACAGTCCTTCCAGCCTAGTCAGGACGAAAGTAGGCAGCAGACAAGTTCTGCCTGTTTTATCACAGTGTGGACAAGAATATCTTCAGGTCCTGGGAGAAACACCATCAGAAGTGGCTTCTCTTCCCCCCTCCTTGGTTTTTCATGACACACTGTGAGGGAGGAAAGGGGCAAGGAGTCTTTGCACTACACCTCTAATCATCCTTAGGCAGTAAAGACAATGGTGAGAGAGGACAGGAGTTATAGTCTAACATCTGGAGTATTAGATCACAGTCACCTCTTCACTAGAGGATGTACTCTTAGGAGACCACTCAGCAAGGAAAATAAGAATTTCTTTATAGTGAAACATAAAGTTTTACAAGTCCTATTCAAGGTTGAGCTGTGCCAGAGGAAGGTTACCTCTGGCTCTGAGGTCTACTCTAGCCTATGGGAGATTCCAGTCTGGTCCCACAGAGGATCCAGGACACGATGCCTCTCTCATCAAGGGTGAAGTGCCAATGAATGTTGGAAAGAGGTATCAGGATAGGGCCCCACCCCTTCTGACATTATCTGGCTTGCTGGATTCTTCCCAGGGAGGAATCTACCTCCAAAACACACCAACGTCTGAGGGGGATGATGAAGAGAAAGTGGGCATAAGGCTGGTTGCTCAGCAAGTAGGCAAGATAAACAGAATTAGTTACGACCTCATTTACAGAGCCTTAGGTGTGAATTCTTCCATATCCAAAAGAAGGGATAGAATCTCGCAAAATATGACTCGGTTAGCGTGAAAGTACAGAGCAAAGCTGCTGTATTGGCATCAAAAAACGCCAGCTCCCGAGCGCTGTAGTTCAGATACACCCGGATCCTTTGGGGTTCCCTGTTCAGAGACAGAGGAGGGTAATCTGGGGGGACAACGGCCCGGTACTGACCCTCCCACCTCCCAATGGCCCAAATTCCAGCTTTCGGACCAGGCTGGATATCTTTCTCCAGTTCCACATTATATTCCGACACACCCACAGCCCATGCGCCCTCCTTCTCCACATCAACGTCCCAGTAGCTTCTGCCAGAGTGTAACGATTTATGTCCCAGCACGCACTGCTGATGATGGAATTGCAGAGACCCTGCGGTCTGAGTCCGTGGCCCATCACTCAGTGTCAAACCTTTCTGGTCCTCAGATAGAGTGAGCTGAGAATTGGTGGTGATGGTATCCAGGGTCACATTTGCTGTCGGACAGAAATAAGGGTATCATTGAGCAGAACGTGCCATAGCTAAGGCGTTGCCCTCGTTCTACCAAAGCCTCCATCTGACTCTAGTAGCTGTTGGTTGTGACATGTCCTATGGATGGTCAGGAAGCCCCACACCATCCCTGTTTCTTCCAGAAACAAACAACGGGCTACAATTTCTGTAGCAAAGAAGCATTGGGCTGGTTTAAGCCTCTGTCAGAGTCAAGAACTGCTATAGGCACACAGAGTTCTGGACTATGTGGAAAGTCTATTTCAATAGCTTACTGTCTGAACTGGGGTGAAGGCTTTTCCTCCTACACCTGATATGCAATCACACCTCCTCCAAAGTAAATTCTTGCTTTCTCCTTCCCTGTCTGCAAGGTTCTAGGTGGGACTGTCATTCTAAGAGGGTTTATTCTTGTGCCAATAAACTAGCTTTGCTCCTGTTCATTATTGTATTTAAGAAATACAACTTCATTAAACCCTCACTTAAAAACAACTAGTTGCAAGTCGGCACTCTGTTACTTCAAAACTCACTTCAAAACCCTGTGCCATATGATTTACCTTTTCTCACTGAATATGCAGATGCCAGGGCGACTATGGAAGGAAGGAACGAGAATTAAAGGGAAGCCTAAAACACATATAAAACACAATAGCATCAATTCCAGGCAGTCTTACCACTGACTTTTTTCTGTGCCTCTGGATTTACTGCTCCAACCATGGTATTTTCCAATTATTAGATTTAAAAAAATGTTGCCAACACATATGGTATTTTGACCATGCTGGCTGGGGAGTTTGGAAAGTAGTAGCCTTCCTCTTGGTCCCACTATCTTCACATTTGATGGGGACCCAGGAGAAGGCCTTCTCTGCTGCTGTTCGCAGACTTTTGGAACTCCCTCCCACAGGAGACCAGGCTGGCCCCTTCTTTGCTGTCCTTCCTGAAGCAGGCAAAGACCTTTCTCTTCAGGCAAGCTTTTCCCTGAGTGAATGTCTGACGAGTGGATTGTTGTGCCTTACTGCATTGAATCCGTTTTGGTGGTTGCTTATGTTTTTTGTTGGTATTGTATTCATTGATTCTTTTAGCATTGTATACTCACAGTGCCTAACTGAAATGCTCTCTTTTAATTGTTGTAAGCCGCCTTGGGTCCTTTTAAAGGAGAAATGCAGGTTAAAAAAAATTTAAATTTAAAAAAATTGAAATAAATTAAAAAGGGACTTTTCTAAGATTCCTGGCCATGCGATCAAAGGACTTCTGGAGGTTGTCGCCTAAAAAACTAAAAATGTCCATATTCTGCCTCAAGGTGTATTTTGTGAGACAGGAGCCACATCTAAAAACGCTAACCCAATGCTCCAGCATTAGAAAATTTTTGGAATTTAGACACAACTATTTTTCCACCGTGCGTTGTGGAAATGCAGGTATCTCCCCAACCCCTGTTCATCCTGTAGGCCACCTCTGTCTTGTGGCACCTTGGAGATGAACAGGTTTTATTCGGCAAAAGCTTTCATGGGCTCCTACCCATTCCATCAGCTGCCACCTGTTCAGGGAATCCAAGTTGTGATAAAGGTGCATGTGTAAATCACAGAGCCTTGCTCCCAAAGGGATCCCACCCTCTCCTGGTCAGAAAGACCTACAAGGATATGCCAATACCTCGGAATTTCTTCAAGAACTTCTGCAGAGCAGGATTGATATCTGAGAATTCCCAAACTTTCCATTTCAGTGAGGATGGGAAAACCAAAAGATTTTCAAACTTTCCTTTCTTACTCCTGGAGATAAAGGGAGACCAAGAGAGAGGGAAGGTGCATATCTTTAATCTTAGATAATCTTAGACCTGCAGAGCTGGAAGGGATCCTATAGATCATCAGGACCATCCCCTGTCAAGGAAAGCCAGTGGGGAATCAAACTCTAATGCCTAAACTGCCGAGCTCTTATTTCTCATCAGATAGGTTAGCTATGAATAAAGGAAAATGGAACACCAGAAAGCTTTACAGAACAGTGACTCAGTCCAGCAGCTTACTATTACTGAGATATATTTTAATTGAAGCTGCAAGGTCCTGGGGAAACTGCCGCTTGATTTATTTACAGCAGGAGTTGGCAAGGTGCATTTCTCCAGAACTTATGGAAAAAACAATTCCCATCAGCCCCCTTCACCACAGAAAAGCCCACTATAAGGAATGATGGGAGATGCCATCCAACAAAACCTGGAAGGCCAGACTGCCTACAAGTCTTTAGCATCTGTTTACTTTCTGGGATCATCTGCCCAAAGCACTCCGTTTTATCCAGCTCTTTCCATCCATCTTCTGTCTCTCCTCCACCCTCCTGGATATACCTCCCATGGTATTTCCCTCCAGGATATTCACACCATCTCTTAAATAGATAACACCCTGAGCAGCCAGCCTAGGTGGCCTTGGGCAAGCTGCACAGTCCCAGGATGCCCCCAGAAGAAGGGAAGGGTAAACCACATCTGGGCAGTTTCTACCTGAAAAACCTTCAAAAGGGGTTGCCATGTCAGAAATGACTCGACAGCACATGATTATCATTCATAAATACATAAATAAATATCTCTTAATAAGTGACAGTACATATACTCTCCCATTAACCTGAAACTTGCTCTTTTTTGGTTGCTTCCTACCAAACTATTCCAAACACAACAGAAATGAGAGGATTCTCCATTATGTTGAACCAGCTCCTGTACTTCCGACACGTTATGCCATCCTGACATCGTACCAAAGGCCAAGAAGTCACTTACCTCTGCAAAATGCCTTTGACATCCTAGAAAAGGGAAAGAGAGAAAAAGAGAGAAGTCAGTGGCGGGCATGGGTTACTCCCTGGAGCAGAAGCAGGCAAGTTGACACCTTCAAGATGTCGATAGATTTCAACACCTGTGAACCTTAACCAATGGCCACGATGGCTTGGTTGTAATGGGAGTTGTTTATCCCAATCATCTTAAGAGCACCAATTTGTTAACCTTGTGTAGCAACCTCGCCCATTTCCCTTTTTTTGCCCATTTGGTCCATATGTAAACATGAAAAAGGGACCAAGTTCTATCCCAGGAGCTCAGACACGACAAAGGACTCTCCTTATGCATGTCAGGAGCCCAAAGCCAGTACAAGAAGACAGAGCTGAAGTACCTTGATTTGGCGTCAAGCAGCTTTAAGAATATAAGAACATAACAGCCATCATTGGACCAAACTGAAGGCCTGTCTAGCCCAATATTCTGTTCATACAGTGGGGAACCAGATGCCTCTGGTTAGCTCCCTAGCAAGACACAGGAACAACTATGGGTTGAAACGCCCATCTCTCTCAGCATTGCTCTATTAGCCCAGACAACATCTGGAAGTTAGAAGTAGCCCATCTTTAATGCAGTGGTTCCCAACTTTCGGTCTCCAGATGTTCTTCAACTGCAGCTCCCAGAAGCTCTTGCAAGCACAGCTAGTGGTGAAGGCTTCTGGGAGTTGCAGTCCAAGAACATCTGGGGACCCAAGGTTGGAAACCCCTCCTCTAATGTGTCAGTGATGCCACTTGGGGGGGGGTCCCTAATGACCAAGGCCACGTGGAGAAATGGGATTGCTGCAGGTAGTTGGCAATGGTTGACAGAACACCTCTTACATGCAGAAGTTCATCATCTGGCAGGTGAAACTTCTCCTTCATCTCTTGGATTAAGCTATTCAGAGAAGCAAGTTCCTGGGAGAACTTGGCTACCCCCTCATCTCTCTTCTTCACAATCTCCTTCCAAGCCCAGTCCATCTGGGCTAGCAAAAACTCCTCTTGCTTATCCAGGAATTGGCGCAGCTGTTGGAACTCAAACTTTGTCTTTTGCTTCTCAGCCTCTGTTTTTTTCTGCAACAAGGGGATAGAAGTGAATCCGAATAGAACAGACATCAACGATTTGTTCATTTTAGATCAGGTTGAATGAGTAGGGCCAAACACCATTTTTCCTAATTTGCCAGGAACCTGCAGGCTGCACTCCCAAGAGGGACTAAAGGTGAAGGTGTGGCCAAATAGGCAAAGTTGCATTTTAATGTTTTAAAATTAAAAATAAAATAGTTTGTACCATAAAATTATAACAATGGGTTTTTGTTAAATGAAAATGGTGTTAACTTTTTTTAAAAAAACTTAACTGGAAAAGACTTCAGGTTTCTTTCCTCTCTCTGAAGGTCTGGCACATCGGTGGGATGACCTGATTTGCATTTTTCTCCATTGAACACATGACATAAAAGGAAATTTAAATCAGTCCGAAGTTTTTCCCTCCCAATCTGTAGTTTTCCCCTCTGCCACAGAGGCTTCTATTTTTTTTTTTTAAATCACATCAATTTTAATTTGTTCAAGTGGTATGATCACGTGAACTGATGCAGAAAACAATCCCTTATTCTTTGCTATTCCCCTCCAGGCACAATATACTATTTCTTTTTCCTTTTTTAAAAAACAGTGTGATGCCAGTGCTGTTGCACTAAGGCCATGTAGAAGAAAAAAAGAAAAGGAAACAAGAGGAGGAAATTTGTACTCTACCCTTGTTAGTAGCTCTTCTGTAAATGTGTCTCAGCAGAGCTACAAGAGAGCTACATTAACTAGTAGCAAACAAGGCTGTTTAGCCAATTTCCTCCTCTCTGTGTTAATTCAGACAGACCTGGGGAAACCTGAACTCCTGAGTGCAACTTAACAGCAAGTGAACTCACATTTCTCTCTGTGTGTCATTGCACTCTTGAGACCATTTCCTGCTGTTCTTGCTCTTTTATAATTAGAGAAATGTTGGCCACCAACAGACCTGCAAACATGGGAGCCATCCTTAGTGCCTTCTGTAAGTAAGTTTAGGGATTTCTTTCCTCCTGCACTGTCCATGAATGGATTTCCTAAGTTTAAAAAAATGGCAAGTTGTCCCCTTCGCTATATTGTGAGTCTTCAAGATAGATTAGATGTAGCGGCCTAATGCAAAAGTTCTGTATTCAGTGGCCATACCCTGCCAGTAGGAGTACTCTCAAGTGATACATACAAGTAGGTCTTGGCTTTCCTTCTCGGCATTAGATTTATGCAGTAGAACCTCTTCTCTCTGCTTTCTTAGCCTTTCCAGGAACGTAGAAATGAGCTCCTGAAGGGAAAAGCAGTTCACAAATTTGATTATGTTTTCAGAGTCATAATTCTCTTTGGGAAGACACTGGTGACGGTCTGTTACTCTGAACATGCTTGTTTCTCCATTTAATTCCCATTTTATTCAGACTGTCCCGTCACTCTCTATCTGAATAGACAGCCCCCTCACTCTCTATCTGTTGCTCCTCCTTATAACCCTTCATTTGTTTTAGGCTACAAGGTGTATTTGACATAAATTTGCATGGACTACAGCAGCTCGTTTCTCCAGATGCTGCCCCTCTTGAAAATCCTCAGAGTATCTGATTAGACATTCCAACTTGTTTGAAAAATGCATGGAAGTCCTTCATTGGGGTAGATTGTAAATACAGATGAAAGACATTTTGAAGCAAATAACTTCAGGAAATTTACTTTCCAAGGAGACGTTGTGTTAGTCTGGTTTAGCACATTGGCAGAATTAAAGGAGAAGAATGGAAAGGGAAAGAGAGAGGGAGAAACAAAATATTGTGGCGTTTCAAAGACTAATAGATTTATTTTAGGGTAATCCAGGCAGCTCAGTGGTTTAGATATCTGGCTGCAGAGCCAGTCTTTGGGAGTTTGATTCCCCATTGTGCAATCCAGAAGAGCCAGCCCGTGTAGTCTTGGACAAGCTGCACAGTCCCAGGACACCCTCAGAAGAAGGGAACGGCAAACCCCTTTTGAATATTCTCCACCTAGAAAACCCTCGAAAGAGCCACCGTAAGTCAAAATGGACTTGATGGCACATAATTTTTACTATTAAACTTTCACTTATTGAAATTACGTTTTCAGACACAGGAGTGCAAATACGTGTTCTTTATATTTAGGGATATGTATACATATAGAGGACATATATTTGCGTGCCTGTGTTTCAAGAAGTGGATTTTGACTCATGAAAGCCCACACGGAAACAAATGTTAGCTTTTAAAATGCAGCAGTAGTTTGTTTCTCTTTTTCTTTCTTTCTTCCCCTTTAATTTTGCCTGGAAGGAAAGTTGTCCTTGATCTTGCAAGTGAGTTCTTGGTTCTTCATTCAAAATATCCTTCCCCAATTTCCCAACCCCATGAAAAGGTAGCTCCTCCAGACCTTGTACTCTTGAGCAGCTTCCTCTACAGGAACCACATTGTGGTTTCGATGACCTTTGGATCGGTCGCATACCACACAGATCGGGACTTGGTCGTCTTTGCAGAACAGTTTTGTGGGCTCCTCGTGCTTTCCGCAAATTTTCCTCGCTTTGGGATTCTGCTTCTTCACTTGGGTGTCAAGCTGCTTGGTGATCTCCACAAAGTTGGCCAGCTGCCTATTGGGTTTGAGTTTCTTTCCCCAGATTGCCTTTTGACAAAGAGGGCAGAGACCACTGGCAGGCAAAGGGGCCCAGGACTTCTCAATGCAAGCACGACAAAAGCTGTGCTCACAGTCCAAGATCACGGGATTTCTGAAAAGGTCTAAGCAAATGGGGCAGGTCACTTCTGCCTGAAGCCTCTCAAACGCCATGCTGTTTCTGTTGCTCGGAGTGCAAGAAACACGGAAACAGGCTTGGGGGAAAAAAGAAAGAGAATGATACAGTCAGAGAACTTTAGAACTGAAAAGAACCACAAGGAACATTGAGTCCAGCTCCATGCTCAGTAGGAAGTCGCAGCGAAAGCCTCCCTATTAGGAGGTGGCCCTCAAACCTCTGTTCAAAAATCTCCAGTGAAAGAGATCCATCACCCTCTGAAACAATCTATTCCAATGTCAGACAGTTCTTTCTGGCATCCTCTGAAACAATCTACTGTATTCCAATGTCAGACAGTTCTTTCTGGCAATAAATTCTTCCTAATGTTTAGGCAAAACCTCTTCTCTTGCAATTTGAATCGGTCACTTTATATCCTACCCTTTGGAGCTACAGAAAGCAAGCTTGCCCCATCTTCCAACTGACAGCTCTTCAATCATTTGAACACGGCTACTCTCAGTCTTCCCTTCTCCATGTTAAACAAGCTTTACTTAATATCCTTAAGGTTGAAGAACCCAGAGCTGACTGGAACAAGAATCTGGAATGCTTGGGGGAAAAAAAAAGCTAAGGTCCCCCCTAACGCTTTCCCAGGCCTCACATTCTGAATGGAATGGCTAGATCTAGCCAGAGATTGGAAAGATTGCTCTTCTTAACTACAACTCCCAGAATTCCCCAGCCAAAACAGTTGTTGTTGGTGGAGAGTTGGGAATCTGTAATAGAAAAGGATAACATTCCCAAATTGTGATTCTACCCAACCTTTGAACTATCCCACAATGCCCTAGAGCTGTGGTTCCCATCCTTGGGTCCCCAGGTGCTCTTGGACTGCAACTCCCAGAAGCCTTCACTGCTCGCTGTTTTGGCCGGGATTTCTGGGAACTGAAGTCCAAAAACACCTGGGGATCCAGGACTTGGAACCACTGCCCTAGAATGTAGGACCCAGAGAGCAAAGGTCGGAACCTCTTTCAGTATTCTGAATTCCAAAAACACCTGGGGACCCAGGACTCGGAACCACTGCCCTAGACTGTAGGACCCATAGAGCAAAGGTCGGAACCTCTTTCAGTATTGAGGCAAAACTCAATTTCATAAAATTTCTTAGGTGGCTGGGAAGAATACATTCTAGTAGTAAGTAGATTGAAAGGCTAAGGGCAGGCCCACCATCACTCAGCATATTTCACTTATAAGTATTTTGGTGCTAGTAGTGAAGTGTTAAGAGAGGCATTTGAACCTTAAGAATGGGAGAAACCCCTGTAAAGAGACTGGTAAACCATCAACTGTGTCCATTTGGAAGAAGGCCTGGCCTTCTGGGTAACTAAAAGACTGCCAGATTTGGCCTCAAGGTAAGAGGTATGTCATCCATGACATAGATAGAAGACCGTTATTTCAGGAGCATTGTAAGAACCTTAAATTGGTCTCTAGATCCAGCCCTTTCCCCTTCTTTTTGATTACGTCTGCTGTTCTGGATGACTACCACAACACAAGCCTTTCCAGACCCTCCTTCTACAGCTAGAAACAAAAATAATTTTACAATTTATTTTATTTCTTTGTTTGATTTATATACCACCCATCTGATTAAAAATAATGTTACAATTTATTTTATTTGTTTGATTTATATACCACCCATCTGATCAATGGTCATTCTGGGCAGTTCACAAGTAATCACAAAACATAAATACAAGATAAGCAAGGTATATTTAATGAATTAAATTAAACTTAAAACAAATACTAAGCAGGTTAATGTCACTGAAAGCTAAAAATTGAATGTATTGAAGGTCTTTTTTTTTTTGAAATGGCAGATGCAATTAGTGATCTTTTAAGTATAAACTCATTTCCTAAAGAGCCTTTTAAATTAGAATGAGAGCCAGGGCCATCTAGCTGTTATTGGTGGAAGAGGTAGAGTCTTTTCTTCACCATGAAATTCAATGAATGATCATGGAACTGGCACAGTTTTTCAGGCCTGTCCCATCTCACAGCATCATTTTGAGGAAACAGCAGAGGCAGGTACTCTGCCTTGAAAAGCAGGATATCAACTAATAAAGAAGTTAAGTAATTATCTCCCGCTTATTATTTATTTTACCAATGAAATATCTAAATAATATTCAATATATAGTGAACAAGGGTGAAGAACACACGATTCTTCAGGTGTTATTGGACTTCAGCTCCCATCAGCCCTTGCTGGAGTAGCCCATGGGGAAGAACGATGGGGGCTGTAGTCCAGCAATATTTGGATCACTGTGTCTGAAATCGTTTCTTAAGCCTTCCTTTGATATAAGGAGTCTGCTGCTCACCCTATGGCTATGGCAAAATACTCATTTAAACAAGGAACTCTGTTAGGGGGTGTTGAGACAGAAGTGGGTTGGAGTGTTTGGCTGCAGAGCCAGGAGCTGAAATCCCCCTCCCTGGCACCTGGCACACAAGATCACCTGGACCATTTGTGGCCAGTGGGGTTATGTGCCCTGCCACCTGTGTGGCATCTGGCATCTCTGTGTGGCTCCAGATCATCCCCAGAAAGAGGGATTGGTATGCCCACTCCTGAATTCTTTAGACCAGTGGTCCCCAACCTCCAGCCTCCAGATGTTCGTGGGCTTCAACTCCCAGAAATCCTGGCCAGCAGAGATGGTGGTGAAGGCTTCTGGGAGTTGTAGTCCAAGAATATCTGGAGGCCCAAGGTTGGGGACCACTGCTTTAGACCCAGGAGACATGAAGTAGGGTTTGGGGGTAAGAGGAAAGCACAAACATCTAAAAATTAAAAGCAAGAACTTTAGACAGTTAACTCAAGAAACAGGACTGTGAAGCTTGAGACTAGATATATGAAAAGCAAACGGCAGTTTTGCATCCTTATTGCCTGCATCTTCTTGCATTGTTTACATGACAAGTGAGACAGGAGAGAAGAAGGGAGGATAAAGAACAAAACAGCAAACATGGAGTACCCACCAAAATGTCGGATTGGCTCTACTGCTTATGCTGCCACAGGGAAAACAGAAGTGGACCAAATGCTACTCAGTAAGCGTCAACAGAGGGGAGTAAAGCTGCTGCTTTGAAGGCAAAACAAGCAAGGAATAACCAGCCCCCTGATAACAGACGGAGTCTCCAACGCTTAACGAAGAGAAAGCCAAAGCTGCAACTGACGGCTGTATATAAATGGGGATGGTTGGGTACAGCCATGCCTTTCTACAACAGCCAATGAATGACTGTTTGGCCCTGTGTGTGTGAAATAACAGAGGGAGCTGAAGCCCTGGGGGAATGAATGAATGAATGAATGGCAGGTGAAGAGGTGGAGCAACTAAACCTAGGGGAAGATGGAATAGTAAATACATGGTACCAGGTTGATTCAGACTAATCACAACCCTTTCCAGGGTTCTCTGGGCAAAGTATTTCAGAAGCATATTAGCAAGGAAAAAAAAACACCCACTACACACCCAAAACAAGTCTTAAAGACTGTTAAATTTTAATGTCAGCTTTTTCAGACATATGAGAGAAAATACAGAGACTATGGGGTAATGCATTCAATCACAGCTCTGAAGATAAAGGGACAGTGGTATTTGGTTGCAATTCACACCTAGTCATGCTTTAACATGACTCCAGTTCTTTTGAAGCTTGGATAAAGGAAACAGCCAAAACATCATAGAATCATGGAGTTGCGAGGGGCCCATAAGGCCATGGAGTCCAGCCCCCTGCTCAATGCATCAATCCAAATCAAAGCAAAACATGTAGCGATGTGTAAAGAATACAGTAATAGACTTTACCTTTGAGCCTTGCTCTGCAAGGTTGGGTCTGCTTGGTTGGGAAGCAAAATAACAGTACATAACAACATAATATCACATTTGGCTGTGGCTTAAGACACTATTTCAGATGCAGTCTGGTAGACTTCTGGAGTCATGCGGCTTGCACAAGGCCACTCGCTCTGCATTCCAAGCACTCCAAGCCATTGAATTATACCAGCTTTTTGAGATGGGGTTACAAAGTCTGTAATCCCTCATTACTGGCTAGTATTTATAGGAGTCGCTGTATAACGAGTGTACCTATTTTCCTTTTAAGCCAAAAGCAAGGTGTACTTACTGGTTATCCTGTAGTGCAGGGGGTCAGGAGATATAGTCCTAAGCTGAGCAGTCAGAAGCAGAAAAGGGCAGGACTTCCTGTTCCTTTAAGAGTTGCCTTTAGCCAGGAATCTAAGTTCACCTGCCGAAATTGCATCTTTAATGTGCAGGAGTTTAGTCCCATTTTACATCTGGTCAACCTAAAGTATCCTGTTAGCCTCATACTCTGAGTCTGCTGTAGAAGGCGTAATATAATCCTGTGGCCAGCAGAAGGAAAATTCCCTAAAATGGCTGCCTCTGGACAGAAAGGCTCTCTGGCAAAGATAGTCATGTTTGGAAAAACTAAAGCAGTAGGAAAAGAGGAAGACGTAACATAAGATGGATTGACTCACTAAAGGAAGCCATGGCCATTGTTTGATCCTTTGTTTGTACCAAAGGATCAATTGAAATATGTGCACTTCCAAACAACCCTTTTGAGCCTTATTTACCCCATCCAAGAGGGGACCATTTGGCTGTGCAATCACATGCATAGTGGGGAAATGAACTCCCTACCTCTCACTCAGCCACAGAATATCCAACACACTGAGCTATCCAGCCAGGTCACGAACAGGTACTAACAGGGACCTTTACGTACCTCCAATGCTCAAGGAGTTATAGCTGCAGTGGAGAGTTTGAACAGGTACTAACAGGGACCTTTACCTCCAATCCTCAAGGAGTTATAGCTGCAGTGGAGAGTTTGTTCAATATCCGTATGATCACCTGGGAAGACATTAAGGCTGCCCCGACGTTAATTCTCAATGAAGTGGAGCAACAGTTAGTTATAGAAAAAGCTATAGAGGTTGAGTCAGAATCGAGACAGGCAAATAACCTCCTCCCAGACTTAAGGACATTAAGGCTGCCCCAACGTTAATTCTCAATGAGGTTGAGTCAGAGGTTGAGTCAGAGTCGAGACAGGCAAATAACCTCCTCCCAGACCCAGATGACATGGTCCCTTGGCAAACCTCACTTCCCATAACTTGGGATCCCAATAATAGTCACGCTATTACCGCGGACTTCTACAAAGGGGAGGCAAATATCTGGATTTTTATCCAATGTATAATTGGTGGTCTCAGATGGGTAGTGGTCCCTAAAAATCAGTGGGACACGGTTGAGGAGATCTGGCAGGGTAAAAAAGAGTTTCTACAGAATCTGAGAGACGGGGTCCGAAAACATACCTGTCAAAGTCCAGATGACCCAGGGACTATACCACTAATGCACCACCTTTTTATGACCCACTCTGCTCCTGACATAAAGCAGAAACTTTTGAAAATGTCAGGAGCTATGGGACAAAACATCTCTTCCCTTCAAGCTGAGGCTCAGAAAGTATTTCACGCCCGGTCCGTAGAGAAGGAAAAGGTCGAAGCTAAAGCTATGGCCATGGCTGTGTCCAGATGGCCAACCAAGCCAGACCCTCAGTCCAGAATAAAGACAGGGGCGGAAGTGTACGGAAGGGACCGTGGACACAAGGGAAACCGTACTCCTCGCTGGCAAAAGACCAGTGTTCACGTTGCCAGGGTTTTGGCCACTGGAGAGCGCAATGTTCTCAGAATGTCAAAAAGGGTGACAAGAGACAGGAAAAAGGAGCCTACCACAATTTGGAAGAGGAGTCAGACTGAGGGAGTCAGGGGCAGACGAAGGACCCACCCACGGTGCCTCAAGTAAAATTATGGGTGGAAAATAAACTCAGGACATTCTTGATTGACACAGGAGCTCAATTTTCTGCAGTATTGAACCCAGTTCCACATAGGAAAATAGACACAATCACAATTAGAGGCGCTACTGGAACCCAACTGACCTCCTAGCTTGAAGACGTCCCCTGTGACCTGCCCGGGGGATTCCAATACCCATGCAGACAAGAACTGGGCATGTACTGTATAGCTTTGAGAAAAGAAGATGCAGGATAGATATGATAGCACTTTTCAAATACTTGAAAGGCTGTCATACAGAGAAGAGGCAGGATTTGTCCTTGATTATCCCAGAGTGCAGAACACACAACAATGGACTCAAGTTACAGGAAGCGGTATATAGGCAGCACACATTGATCTGTTATGTGAAGATCTGAATATACAAGAAGCTGTTGAAGATTTAATGTCACAGAAATGTTCTTCTGGATGTACATCAAATACTGTTTGTGGTTAAACATATGATACTTTAAAGCAATGGTTCCCAAGATTGACTTCCCAGATGTTCTTAAACCACAACTCCTGGCCAGAAATTCTGGCCAGCTGAGCCAGTAGTGAAGGTTTCTGGGAATTTTAGTTCAATAACATCTGGGGACCAAAAGTTGGAAATCACACGTTTGAAGCATGGAGTGCTAAGTATTAGACAATATTTTGCTCCCATCTTAATGAAATGTCAGGTACCCTGTTTCCCTGAAAACAAGGCCTAACCTGAAAATAAGCCCTATTATGATTTTTCAGGATGTTCTTTATATAAGCCCTATCCCAAAAATAAGCCCTAGTTAAGTGAAACCCCGTCCTCCACCACTGTGCAGCAACCAGAAGGAGATGGCATGATTGTATTTGAATAAACATAGACGGTTGTAAATGGAAAAATAAAACATCCCCTGAAAATAAGCCCTAATGCATTTTTTTTGGAGCAAAAATTAATATAAGACCCTGTTTTATTTTCAGGGAAACATGGTAATTCTGTGTAACTGTCCCAATTCTGTGAGACTATTAAATGAGTTTCAATAAAAGTTACATTTACTACAGATCTTGAAGTGGGCAAACCTGGGCTCTGTTGTGACAATGGATGTCGAAAGCATGGGATACATATTTTATGATTATAGTAATGTAAGAGCAATAATAACATCTGTGAATGACTAAAGAGCAAGCGTTATCCTTAGAGATAACATTCTTGTTGACAGGAGTTAAGAGTGAGATGTTGCTTCAGAAACTTGTATCCAATTACTCTCTTGCCCTCTCAACACACCGTGTCAACTCTTCGAATGTGGAGTGAAAAATAAACAGATAAATCCCCAGTGAGTTGCTTAATTAATATGGTATGAAGTAAACAAGGAGGCAGAATCATTAGTACAGCAAGCCTTAAATTATCATGAGACAACTCATTTATGAGTCAAAAAAGCTTGAGTAATTTAGGTCCCAGTTGGGAATATAGCTTTGGAATATAGAGACATCTATTGTATAATTGAGATGATGGTTCAGGGAACTTTGATCAAGGGGTAGATGCCTCCCAGGGTTACTTTACTAAAACTGTAGATGCATTTCTTTTGAAAATTTATCCACTGAAGAGAAAAGGATAGTTATTGATGAACGTAATGATGTCGGAATGGTGTCTGAATAGATCTAATAGGAAGTGTGCATAATCTGAATCAGATTTCTTGGTGTGAGGCGAGGCATTTTAATGCCATTAAAAAAAGAGGGAGGAGTTGCTTCACAGATATCTTGTGTCACCTCATATGAAAAAAATCAATTTAAAATTACTCAGTATGGAAATTGTAAAACAAAGTATACCCTGTGGATTCCATCAGGGAATATCATCATATCTTCCCTGCAAAATCTGAGAGGACAATACTTTAAAATTTCAAAGGAACAGAATGACCGAAAGCCAGTAGTAAGTTACAACTGGAGTATTTATTTATTTGATCTCTATACTGCCCATCTGACAACCCAGGCCACTCTGGATGGTTTACATAGTATAACAGAGTATATGAACAAAACAATACAATAAAAGGGCAAAGTATAAATTAATCAATACAATATTAAACAAATAAAAATAATATCAGTAAACTTTAACATAGGAAAAGGAAAAAAATGGCAGGGTTGAACATTAACTGTTGATTCAAGATAATGTAGAGTCTGGGAACTGGGAAGGCCTGTCTGAATAAAAATGTTTTAAATAATCACTTAAAGGTTCCCAATGAAGACATTAGGCAAATATTGGGTAGGAGAACATTCCACAATTGTGGGCTTACTGCCAAGAAGGCCCAATTTCTGGTCACTGTTTTCCGGGCCTCTCTCGGGGCCAAAACTCTCAGCCGTCCAGCTTGGGAAGATCTTACAGGATAGGGAGATCTGGTCAGATGGAGGCGTTTCGCCAGATAACAAGGTCCCAAACCGTTTGGACTTTGTATGTTAACACCATTACCTTGAAGTTGGCACGGAAACTAACAGGTAGCCAGTGCAGGGTGGCCAAGATGGGGGCCAGATGTTGATGTCTCCTCACCCCACTTAGCAATCTGGTGGCCGAGTTCTGGGCCCACTGAAGTCTCCATGACAACACCAAGGGCACCCCCATGTAGAGAGCATGCCGCAGTCTAATCTCAAGACTACCTGTGCATGAACCAGCGTGGTGAGGGACCCAGTGTCAAGGTAGGGATGCAGCTGAGCAATTTGCCTTAGATGGAAGTAGGTGGTGCGGACCACAGACGCTATCTGAGATTCCATTGACAGTGCAGGGTCCAATCCCGGATAAATCGCCATGAGGCTGGGAGTACCTCCAAAGGCACACCACATAGTGTACCGTTCATCTTTTCAAGCAGAAGCACCGAGAGACGCCTGTCTACCATAATAGAATTACAGAGATTGTATTTAGAAAAAGAAACACCAGAGGGTGCTGTTTCAGCAGGAAAGATGGAGGGGGTAAAAGGAAGGAAGGAGGAGGGAGAAGGACGGAGCTAGAAGAGGAAGAGGCTTGTTGGGTGCAGGAAGAAGAGAAAGTAGATGGAAAAGAAGACATGGTGGAGATAATGCAGGAAGACACCTGGACAGGGGAGTGGGTAGAGTTCAAAGTCCCAAGAGAATACAGTGGACTCTCAACTTACAAAGGTCCCCACCTTGTTGGGGAGAAACTAAGGACAGAAAAAGAAAAAAAGAGTCCAAGGCTTGACAACAACGAGAGGCCCAGAGAAGA